GCCTCCGCCCCCGCTGCCCCAAGAGACAACTGCTTCGATTAGCCAAGACGAAGACCCGTTAAGTGACTTTGTGACGGAGCGACAGCTGTCCACTCACGCCCCTTCTTGACCCAGTTCGCCATGGCTGCTCCGAGAACCACTACAACCACTCCCCCTCGCCGGAGCAGTATTGCCTCCGTACACTAACGCCCCCCCCCTTCGCGCTGGCGTTTCAGACCAATCCTGATGTCACATGAATCGCCTCCTGAAATCATAAAAAAGCAAAGCCATGCCTCCTCTCCTAATAACATACACACGCTCTCCGAAGACTGGTTTCGCTCTGCGTGGCGATTGAACTAATGTTGCTCCCTTGTATAGACTTAGGCAATTTGGCCGACTCCCTTTGTTCTTGACTTGTGGACCCATTGTCGAGGTTTGTACATTGTTTATCCTTTACTATCTTGCTTAATAATACCGTACTGTCTTGACAGTTGTTATCAGTGGGCTTGACGTACGCATGACTGCTGGATACAGAGTCAGAAAAGTCGATAAAGACGAAACACATACTGGGCGGTAAAGAGAAACACCGGAAAGGTAGTATTTGAGCGGGCAGAGCTCAAAGTCGATGGAGCACAATGTGGAAAATTAGTAGACAAAGAAACGTACATATTGGTCAACGTGCGCAATTTGGAATAAACATTGAAACTGCAACTAAAATCGGCCGTTAAAAAACAACGAGTTCACGCATACAGCCTCGGGAGTACAGAGGCGTTTACAAGTGCCGAAGGTTAACTTAGCGTACAATAAATTATCCGTTTGCACTAGATTCTCCTTAAAAACTCTACGTACTGACACTTGGTACGGCTGTGACCATATCTGGTCCAGCCATCTGCAATAGCCTCTCCACGCGTGCCGATCTGCTACAGCGGAACAGCAAAAACTCCGCCGCCTTTCTCTCCTCTATGACTGAGATCAAGTACCGAAGTTCCAGGAACCACCTGAGTACTACAGGAGTGTGTTGGGCTGGGCGCACAGTTGACCTAACCATCGATGCCTTCTAGTGGGCCTCGCC